AGATAGATAGATAGATAGATAATCTTTGGTAACCCTTAATGGACTTTGGATGATCAGGACTGAAATGATAAGGTTTTTAAGGAGATGTTTATAGATAAAAGATGGGATATGGGAAGAAGAGATCATTTGTTGTATTTTAACAGAAGGTGATAAGTTACTTAAATTGTTTATACTTGTGATGAAGGGGAGTCATTTCCTTATATATTTCTTTTCTTGTTCTTTACTAAATTCTTAGTTTTTCTTTCTTTTCTGTTTCTTTTCTATTTCCTTTTTCTTTTCTGCACCTTCTATTTTTTCTTTTTTACTTTGTATTAGTTTTTTATTGTTGTAGTTGTAGTTTTTAATAAAATTGTTTAAAAAACCAAAATAAAAACAAAACATACCAATAAAATCATTACCAAAACTAAAAACTGCAACTAACAATAATACCCAACAAAAAAAGCTAACAGCATCACATAATGCTCAATGCCTCTTGAAACAGAACAATTTTTAAAACTTTCCAAAAAGACAGCAGGATGGGGGCCAAACATATCTTGGGGATAAGCTGTTCCCCCATCAAGAAGGTCTGCTTCTGGGCCCCCACTTGTTGACCTTTAAGACCTTTGACTCTCAGCATTCTCTCTTGGGATGATTGCACAGGGCAAGCTGATCATAGCCAGAGACAAACTCCTGATGGTAAATAGGAATTGAGCCATGCAAGGTGTTACAGGTTAACATGAACACTTTGAAATGCAACCAGAAACCTGCTGATAGCCAATGTAGTGACTGCGGTATAAATGTTTTATGCTACTGAAACAGCTTACCTTTGCAGTTAGTCAGGCAACTGCATTCCAGTCCCCTGTGGTTTCTGGATCATCTCCAAAGGCAACCTTATGGAGAGTGCATATGTGCATGGTGATAAGGGCATGAGTCACTGTGGTAAGAGCTCACAGTCCAAGAAGAGCTGAAACTAGTGTACCCAAAGAAGCTGGGCAAAGACTCTCCTGGCTGCAGCCTTTACTACTGCTAGAATAGAAACCATGAATCCAGTAGAACCTTCAAGTACACCTACTTTTTCAAAAGGATAGAAGCTCCATCCAGAATGCAAGACTGTTTAGATACACACAGCAGCTCAATCTTGCATGATTCACTTTATGCTTATTTTTCCCATCCAATCCCTCCTCACAGCCTCCAGACATTGAGTATTGATCTCCACTGAATTTCTGCCATCCCCTGTGGTAGTGATACATAAAAGTGTTATCTGTATACTTATACACCTCATTCCAAACCAACAGATGACCTTCTGTGGTAGTTTCATATACGTAGATATTTAAAAAACACAGGGGAGAGAGTTCAGCCTTTGGTAACCCACCCTGAAGCAGCCAGAGGGTCATCTAGTGCTCTCCCCATGACCATCAACAAATCATCTAAGAGGTGCCTTCTTCGAGGTGGATATTAATATTAATACAATATTAATTGTAAGCCAATTGCAATGGAATTTCATTTTATTATGTATTTGGTGTATAGTGTATAGTGGAATGACAATAAAGTTCTATTCTATTCTATTCTATTCTATTCTATTCTATTCTATTCTATTCTATTCTATTCTATTCTATTCTATTCTCACCCTTAGAGGCATTGATTGCTCTTAAATCCAGCTACACCTCTCCTAGCTGTCCGAAGATGTTGATGGGGCATAGTTCCAGACCACGTGTAACAGAGTCATAATGCAGAAAGGCCTATCTAATTTCAGCAGACAAGTTCAAAGGAATCCCACCCAGATGACTTACAAGATGTTGCCCCAGACCACTCACTAGGCTCTAGCCAACAGGCATCCAACACAGAGTAAATGTTGACAATCTTATCCACAAAAAATCCGACAAATGCATTTAGTGGCCTGCAGGATAATGTTTCTGCCCACCAAGTGTGCAAATTCTCCTGAACAGAACTGATGGACAAGAGTCTGCAGAAATAGTAAGTGCAGAGAGTACTCCTTGCTACTATTACTGCCACCAAATACTCCTGAACTTGGTTTCATAACTTTGCTGGCTAAAACAAATCTGATTTGGTTACATACCTACGTTTGGTAACATTGAGCATTTGTCTTCCACCACTGTCACTGTATGCATCTCTACTATAGTTTCATCTTCCAGAATAAACCAAGTGATTTTTTGGGATCAGCACCCAGAGACAAGTAACATAATCCAAAGTTCTTGTTTTTGTATTCCAGAGCTTGGCAAGGTGCATGGTGGAACTATTTGCCTGATCAGTGGAGAAGTCCCCAAGGATCCTCAGAAAGCTCGCAAGGCCATCAGATGCTTGGGGTGGATGGTTTAATCAGTCTCCCATTCTTCCAGAGGTCAAACATGCCAGCAACATTTGACAAGGAAAAAACTGGTCACAATGTCCTCCATCTTCAGATCACACATCATTTGCTCCAAAGTCCGCATGGTCATCTACCAGAACATGAATGGACCTGCCATTCTCCAATAGCAGTCCGAGGCTACTTGTGGTGGTAAAAGGTACCACCACACACACACACATAAACTGTATTCACTATACCAAACCTATGAGATCCCCCTCCCATGTGAACTGCTTACAGTGCCCTTGTAAGAAAACGTTCACAGTAAGCTGAATTGACCCTGAGTGGCGACAGGGGGAAGAATCAGCCAGGAACCAGTGGGCCAGTAAACTAAATTGTTTATATCCACTGAAACATAGTATAGCTTGCATGCTGACCTAGTAGGAAGGGACAAATAATGAGAATATCATCCAAACAGATTTATCTAAAACACTCCAACATTATGCTGTAATTTACACTGTCTCTATCTTTTCGCTTATCTCTGAAATGTAGTAGGCCAAAGGTATATAAGCTGTGGGCCTGCTTTTGCTCAGGGCTACTCAGCAAGTTGCCAATGCTTTGCTGGGAACTCAATGTACACTGTAGTTGTTTGCATGCTTAATAAATTTCTGTTGTATCTTCAAAGTGATTTGGTTGTTTTAAGTGAGCCAGGTTTTGGCCACAACACTAGTGATCTAGGCCTCTTGAACCCAGGACTGAAGCAGATGAGCTAGAAGCAAAGACCTGCACCAAACTGCAGATTTCCCTTCTGGAAAAGCTAGCTCAATGTCTCCCAGCTGTTACCCTCCTCTACCTGGCACTGTGGGAATTTGCTTCTCAGCATCCACACACCCCTGAAGCTTCCTAGAACCTCCCATACTGTCTCAAATAGAGCTTCCATTCAAAGTATCCCTTGAGATAATCAATCATTATTATATTCATCTATCACCCCCATCACTTTACCCAGTGCACACTCTCGAGACTTTCCCCCCAGTACTCTAGTCCCACTATGGCCCTTTGATGAAGGAGGGCCCACATTCTGATTTAAGGTGAGGCTTATTCCTGCCCTGCCTGCCTCTCATATAGAGAATTGCAACTTTTCCCAAGTTGCCCTTCTCCACCAGTCCATTAGAGCAGCCATGGATGGCCAGCCCAGCAGCCACCAGCAGAGACTTGTTTGTAGTGCCTGCTTTTCCTTCCAACTCAACAGTCCCTGCTGTCCCAGCTCCGGTCAGGTTTGCCCTCTGGCCTCTTCATTCAAGGCACATCAGTTTTACCTGGATCTCTTATTTGTTCCTCCGTTTGTTCGTCTCTTGCTCTTCCCTTTCCCAACTCCTCAATCTTTAAGGACATTTGCCGTATCAGAGATTTGTGCCCAGAGGCTGTAACATCGCCACCATCACCACCACCAACCAAGGATCTCCACCCCTTTTTCTACCTTGCACAGGCACCTCTATTCAATGTCATACCACTTGTTCTTTTTTGTGTGTTTGGATCATCCTCCAATTTCTATGGAGGAACCACTATTTATTCTTCTGCTTCTTCTCCCTTCCATTCCAATCCAAGGCCACAAATGTTGCAATCCGCCAGCATCCAATTCTTCCGCTCTCCAGTTCCATGCCCAAAACTAACCATCCCTCCTAAAACTTCCCTAGCCCGCACACTCCGAAAACAATGGTCTCTACCACAGCCAACCCTCACCCATTCCAGAAGTCATAAAAATGGACTTCAAAATGGAGTCCCTGCACTCCATTATGAACCTGCTTCATGGGCAGCAAAAAAATAACCATCCTGCACCTTTAGGCTGAAATGCACATGAGAAGGAAGCAAGAAACAGCATTCTCTTTCTCCCAGTGTGTGCTCTTCTCCCCATTTGATATCTGTTCTAGGTGTGTGAGGATTACAGTGCATTCAGCTCATAGGGACCTTCTATGAGGAATAGCCACGGTAAGCATACAATGAAAGCTTGTCTGTACAGAACAGTTATGCCCATATGTTATTTCTCAAACTGCTTTAATATATAAGTTTAGTTTATACTTGTATCAGACTGCATAGCTCTCAGAGCCAGAAGTCCAATTTTTGCTTCATTTAAATAAATCCGTTTAGGAAATGGCTGGTACTCAGGGATGTCAACAAGTAGAGTATTTCTGCCCCAAAGTCACCATTTAAAGGCTGTCCCGATTGATATTGAAGATCTTGACACAGTGATCTGCCCCGCAGCTCACCAGCTGCAGCCACTTGCTGCTCTCTGCTGTGTCCTGTCCCGCTCTGCCCACACGCTTTCTCCACTGCAGTCGTTTGACAGCAAGGCAATGGCTTTGGCTGCAACAAAGACAGAAGCTATTAGTGGAAGGAAACTCAGCTCATCTCTCATAATCACAAAATGTCAAACTCAGCTGGACTTTGTCAATTCAAAACATCAGCATTTATCTAATTAGAGTGTTCCTTTGCAGCGCCGCCAGAATGGAAAAACTAAACTTGTCACTGCCTGTAGGTATTAAAGATGCCAGGGCTATTATCAGTGCAAGTGACATTTCTTCACTTCATCCCATTAATAATTCAAGCAGCAATCTACTTATTTTCACTCCAATTTCAGGTTAAGCATCAATATTAAGAATGATACTGCTACCCGGGAAGCTAAGAATCATACTGGAAAGTTCCAAAAGAAGAGTCAGACTATAAGCGGCTTGATGTGAGTGCTCGATTCAAATGTAAGGCTAAACCACGGTCAGAAGTTCTCTTGCAGGCTTGTGTGCCCTTCCTCTGCTCCTTCACAGGTTACCTTCTCCTTTCCCCCATGGTTTTCATTTATCATAGTTTGTGATTAGGTCTACTTTGGCAGCCTGTAGATTTTACCTTGCTCTCAAACCACTGCTTATAAATGTATTTTTGAAACATAGCTTCTGATTGAGTCCTGAAGGCAAGCTGTTCCCATGCAACTCATCCAAATGCCACTACAAATAAGGATCAAAATCTGGAGGGGATCTACACACCACAACCTTCTAGGGGTTCTCCCAATGGGCAAAAGATCATGAGACAAAGTTGGACAATAAAAATGACGGCAACCAGAAAGCTGTATGAAAAGATGTAACCAACAATTTCATTCTGAAATTCCCCATATGTTTGAGGCACACACATGATCTCCCTCAAAACAAACAAACAAACAAACAAAACAGTTAAAAGTAAGTATTAGATTTCATTCAGTCTTGTCCAGAGTAGCTAAATGTATCCCAGAATTAGGTAGCTAGAATTAAAAACCTATAACTTTGCACTGTTACACAGTGCAGCGCCTATTCAGTAAATTAGACTTGGTATTTATGCAGAGGATTCAACCGAACTCTGTATAACCTAGCTATTACAGTACGGAGCATTTATTATTGCATTTTTATAACAATTATTATGATGATTGTTATTTTATACTGCTGTTCTTCTTGGAGATGTCCAAATGGACTCAGTATGATATGGTATGTACGTGAAACTAGGAAAACAACTTGATGGAAGAACAAGAGGAACAGATGTTCCTGGTACACCAAGTAAGCCATTTGGGCCTACTTAAATGAATGAAAAAGTTAATGGCATACTGAGAAATTCAAACATTTAAAGTCTCATCAGGCTTTTACAGTCCTGCTATACAGCTCAAGTTACAACCCAGAGCTCAAAAGGCACATAACTTAAAATCAGCATGAGAGCCGAACTAAATCTAGATCTATTTTTAATTTGAAGTTTCAAGAATCTGAAGAGAAATTCAGATTACTAATTCAAATAAGGGTAAGGCTCCAAAAAAGCCTAGATGAAAAAAATTATGAATATATAATACCAGCATATAAGGGAATTTTCTGTATTTGGTGCAGAATAGTGAAGTTAGCTAAGAGAATGGGCTACAATTCAAGAAGCCCACAGATCCAGTTAAGACTTCATATCTGCCATCCTTCTGCTGGGCAATCTAAAACCGGTCTCTTGTTCTCCTTCTCTCTCTGCCCCCATCTGTAATACAAGAATCATATGGAAAGAATACTGACCTATTTTACAGGATGGCTGAAAGGATTACAATAAGATAACGTTAACATGAGGCACTTTGAATTCCCTACAGTGCTATATAAAGAACAAGAATTATTAATTCTCTCTTTGCCCTTTTCCAGGGCTGAGGTGCACACCAGGGAAAACGGAGGTCATCTGCTGCTGCAGTCTTCAACCTGCTGTGTAGGAATCTGTGATAATAGCCAGTTTGTTAGAAAAAGAAAGAAAACTTTTCCTTTGTGCCACAGAATGTCTCTTTCCCATGCTGCAGTACTCAAGCTGCCTCTCCTTACTCCTGATAAATATATAGGCATCTGAAGTTGCACAGATGGATTCCCAAGAATCAGCTATAGTTGCAAGTGCATATAACATAAAGTGGGTGTGCAATTCAGAGATTACAATCATTACAAAGCTGTGCCACATTACTGTATAATTCTGATCAACTTTGCCTTAATCACATTATCACACCCAATTCAGTATTACCATGGGGCTAACATTTAAGTGATCCAAACCTGACCAAAATTAAACTTTTACAGTATTAACAATATTACCTCTGAATATGATCACCTTTTTAAAAAATGTAAGAGAAATATAAATAGAAAAAAGACCAGAGAGAAAGGCAAGGGATTCTAGGTGAGCTTGATAAGCCCTTCAAAGAAATGCTCCTTGAAATACAACTGGAAAAGGGCCAAGAACAGCCATACAGAGACTCAACATGAATTAATTCAGCTGGTTGTCGGGACTTACATCCCTATAGATTCTGCTATTGGCCCTCTCCGCCTGAGGTCCAAGTGCACCTGAAGAGATCTGAGAACAGGGAGGGAAAGGAAGAACAAACAGGACAATGCTGACTTGGAAGAGGAGATAAGGAAGACTATATCCAACTTCAGCTTGCTTAACACAAGTCACCTCAATCCATTATTTTTCCTAATTTCCTACACCTGCTTCAACTCCTTATTCTTCCTCCAAGCCTTCTCAGGGACCCCAATCTTTCAGAGAGGCTCTGGGAGGGCACACAAGGGCTGAAGTGAGTGGAGAATTCATTTTGTGCAAACACAATATTTGCAATCTTTGTCTGTACAAAATAATAATCCAGTAGATGCTCTGTTTATCAATTACATGGCATTAAGGACATTAACCCCTTCATGGATCACTGCCTTGTCGTGGCGAAGGGGCTTGCGTAACTCAATGAAGCCATGAACTATGCTGTGCAAGGCCACTCAAGATGGACAGGTCATGACAGAGAGTTCTGATAAAATGTGGTCCATTGGAGAAGGAAATAGCTACCCACTCCAGTATTCTTGCCAAGAAAACCACATGGACAATGTCAAAAAGCTAAAAGATATGACGCCAGAAGATGAGCCCCTCAGGTCAGAAGGTGTCCAATATGCTACTGGGGAAGAGTGGAGGGCAAT